TATCTCAGCAAGGTTAATCTTGGTTTAATTGTACAAAATGTAATTCCTTCACAGAAGATTATAAAATAAATAATGTTATATCAAAAACAAAAAAGAATAAATAAACAATAAAGTGATAAATTAGGAGACAATAATTTAATTAACCCATAATAAGTATATGCCATGTGAATGAACTCGAAAGATGCTACTACTTTGCCTTTGAATAGAAATTCAAATAACTTTAATTATTACGAACAATTAAAGGCAGAGATTTGCCATGATACACATACACATATCCGTGCAAATATAATTATTCTATACTTATGTATCAAAAATTATATAATATTTACCTCCTTGAGGTTTTGCGCATATTAATTATTTAACTCATAACTTGCGGTAAAAGTAGCGAGAATAAAATTACTTATTTATACATACATACCATACCTACTCGTATGTATGTATGTATATACATATGTGTGAAGAATAATTTTATCTACACCGTCGAAAAGCAAAGAGCAACAGGTAAAGTGCTCATAAGTAACTGCAATTAAATGCAGACAGTGAAAAACAAAAAATAAATAAACAATTGCCATAAATAAAAGCAATTGCAAATACACAGCAAGTGTCTAATTTCAGCATGCTTATGACGCCTGAGACTAATTCACAATTTCGCCAAACATTCACACTCTGTGCTTGGAAGTGTACATAAGTATGAACTAGTTAACACTCACAATATATAATATATAGTATCGCACGCGCGCGATACGCAAACTGTTTAAAAAATATTTCTTCTTTATGACTATCATGGCTCAAATACTCTTCACTTGAGGACGTAGAGAACTATATGAGATATAATGCACTGTACTATAAGTACTTGTTTTACTATTCTAAAAAGTAGTAAATAATTGACTCGATTGACATTTACCTGACCATATTGAACGTACGAGACGTAATACGCTTGCATAGATAGTGTATCAGATACTACATACTGTTACAACAACAGTAGTTTTTAGAACAATCTTTGTATTATAATAATATTACTAATAACTTTTAATTGAACTTCGTTACTCTACATGCAAAAATTAAATCCTCACATTTCACAGATTTTCCGAGATATTAGAAAGAGTATTTTGGTAGCGTATTTGGTCCTTAAATTCTACAACGCTCCATCTAGAGAATATGTAGATATCCGTTTTCCAGTTGTCCTTATACAATACGGTATAATCAGTCAATATCTTAAATACCTTAATAAAAACTTATTTTGGGTTGACCTTAACAAGACTTTTAGAGTTTATCACATTTCACACTTCCGTACCCAAGTTATTAGTTATATATTAATACTAACGTTTATATTTTTTGTTTACAATGGAATGTTGTTGTAAAGCAATAGCTTGATAAATATTACGCTAAAATATATTTAACGATTAAATACTGACTTGTTTAACTTCGTGTTAACTTTATTGCTTAACAATTTGCTATAAGACTCCATTGGAACTTAAATCTCTACGGTATCACTTTGATGTTATCTACCTATGATAAATACAAAAAGGTATCTAACCCCCTACTGCAATTTAATTAAATGCATGATTGGAAAAGTGAATAATATATCTAATAAAAGTCGCAGAGAAAACACAATAAAATTAATCATATCGACTCTAAAGGTTAATTAATTAGATGCAATCAGATAATTTAATAATTACAATTGTATTTAAGTCTATTCAAAGCAGTTTTTATCGATTCTTAGTTTTATTTGTTGATGCATATTAGAGACCACATATTTCAAAATTTGTCCGGTCATTTTCGGAAATGCCTTTGTTCAAAATGTGAATGCAATATTTACGATTACAGTATTAAACTTAAATATATTATATAATTAATGCTGGACCCTATTTATCTATATTCCTACTTATCTATATTGCAGTGAATTTATTTCAGATATCTGAATATTCAAATCTTTAATTATAAAACAAAATTGCGACAAATTTTCATACTATAAAAAGCAATTCCAAAATGTAACATGCTGCTACAGAGTATACAAGTTTTGTTGGCCTAACGGTTATTTGTATCACATAAAACTAATTGAGTTAGATATGGAATTATATATGTATATACAAGTATAAATGATCAGGATGACGAGGCAAGTTAGTTCCTTGGCATCCGGGGAGGAGAAGATGGTCTTAATCCGACTTTTACCACAATCGCAAAACAACATTTATCTTTAAACTGCCATATCTAAAATACGATAGATACGAGAGGGCTTTATAGAAGCCGGTATCAAATTTGGTTCTTGAGCGTGACACCATCCACATTTAGGTGAAAACATATATAACAAGACCAACTAGATAAATTTCAACCAAATTCGGTAAGTAATATTACCCTAACATTCCTACACTACGGTGCGAAAAGCAGAAATCAGAAAAAAAACCTCGCCTACCTCCTATATAACACCATCCAGCATAATAATCATGACTCTATGAGGTATATTATGAAAATTCCGAGAGAATCCTTTCTGATTATATCTGTATGTAAAAAATGGATTGAATCGGATCAACAATTCCCTTATACCCCATTTACCTAATAGAATTATTTCGAACTTCCCGATGTGTTTATACCGCATATATCAGCAAATACCTAAGTTTTCCCAAGGGGTGGTATACCTTTAGTGCCGTCAAAAAATGTAAATTTTTCCAATTTTATTATGAAAAAATAAAAACAGAGAAAAACATCCGATTTTTGTGCATATATATTAAGAAGTATTATTGAACTATAAAATAAAAATTAGTTTATGAAAAAAAAAGAAACAAAATGACGGATATATTAAAGATGCCGTTGATTGACATTTTTTGCGGCCGTCAACTTCCTGGCTAGACTTCTTATCCCTTTTTTTTTAATCTGGAAGCTTTTATCAAGTGTATAGTGGAGGAGTTTCAAGATTTTCGAAAAATCGGGGATGTAGACCGGGATTTTGTATAAAGTGCCATTTTTACCTGTGTTTTTCGAGATAAACAACTGTCAAAATCAGAAAAGCGCTCTATGGCGCCCTTGAGTATAAAATTGCCTATAAATTTCGCTTTAGTTCAAGTAAATCGGTTAAATAACTCGCTCGCAATTTTGACGGCCGGATCAAAAAAATTTAGCTTCGAGGAAACGAGAATCAATGCTCTCCGGTTGTATAGACCGCAGTATGAAGTGCAATGATTCTAGGGCCTATTTCTTCGAAAATATTCGGAGCACACTAATGAAACTTAGGAGCTATATTTTTGAATAGTTTTCGATTGATTAGGGCGAAAAAAAATTGTCTTAATTCAATAGAGTGTGCATGTTTTGCTCCTAACGGTGGATCTTTTTGCCTAAAATTGATAAAAAAAAAAGTGGTTGAAAATTTTCTCCAGAACCTAATTAGCTATCTTCATCATTTTCAAGCATCTAGTTGACTTTAGCATAGAACATATTTTTCTGTTAATAATATGTAGTAATTCCAAAAATAGGTAAAATCGAGTCAATTCTACCCCTATAGTTTTGAAACTTTCGGTTTATAAATGACCGGTTTATATATTGATCGATATCCACGAGTTAACAAACCTCCCATATATTGACATATCATTATTTTCATTATTATAACATACCTTATGCTGTAAATATGTCAATCAGTGAATCAAATTCTTGTAAGAATAACACTTTTATCTGACAACATATCTTCACGAAATGTCCCATATGTTATTATCCAAAGCTGCCCGAAAAAATTGTTGAGATCGAAAGATTATAGCGTAAAGCTGCTATAAAAAACTGAACGTTTAAAATCAAGTTCTTTTATGGAAAACTTTTTTGTTTGACATGTATTTCCAGAAAATTTTCATGGCATCCAAAGAATTTTTTATTAAAGCGCGGTGCAGCAGAAGTTAACGTTTATTCTTGTTTCAACTCTTTTTCACATCAAAAATACGATAAAAATATGTTCTATAAGAAATCACTTTTCCTTGACAATTCTCCATAGCCCATAGTACTTAATAAGCCCACTCACTGTTGCAACTGAAATCATTCAATTCCCAAATTATTCGTGTTCCTTATTTATGTGGATCATTGAACAAAAGTTAGGTTGCCAAATTTTCAATATAAACTAGATTAACTCTCCAACTGATATTGACTGAGGTTCGGTGCTCCACATAAACCCAGTAACATAAATACTAAATCTACACCTAAATTAATTATCGTATAATACCATAACAATTACATAAATACTGCATACTTATGAATTCGAAAATTACAATTAAGTAGATCATAGCGTAATATATACATATGTATTTAAATAATCATACTTAGTTTTATTTTATATGAGTTAGAAGATTGGAAATTCTTGTCTCCCTTTGTGAATCTAATTAGGCTATTAAATTCTTTCCCCCATATTTGGACCTACCTTCTTTGAAGGATGTACTTAAGGTATTAATCTAAAACCAAGAAATATTTTTTGAGTAGTGTTTCAGTACCGGTCGCCTCCTGCAAGTCTATAAATGTATTTTGGTATTGAAAACTAATTTCATAAAACCCTTTTATCCATTCGGAGTCGCATAATATCAAGAGGCAAATGTTAAAATAAGTTCGACAAACATCTAGGAAAAATGTAAGCTCCATCAAATAAGAAATATAGAGGCAAGAATGCGACACCCAGCGTCCTCAGCGATACGAAACATCAAAATTGCATAGTAATTGTAAATAAAGCGTTATCTTCTTTCGTTCATGATGTCACGTACCAATGTACATTAATTGCTTCGATATGAACTTTGAAAAAGTAACTACAGGAAATTGTCAAAATCTTTTTCTGTTGTATAAATCGCCTTTTTGTTTAACGTATTTACTTTTCTTCATTTTTTACAATTGTCTTCGCTGTCCTTATCAGAGTTTTGTTTAAAATTTAAAAATCAAAATATAATTTGCTATCATTAAATAGTCATGACGTATTATGTTCGCTAAAATATTACTAGTGCCATTGCTGTACATTTCTCTACTTAACATTTTTGGCTTACCTTTTACTGAAGATTTTATTTCCAGCTTATTGCACCCTTTCGCAAATTGAAATGCTTTTTATTAAAAATAATTATTTGCACATTAAAACAAAAACGATACACCTTAATATTTAATTACATCACTTAAATATTGTATAAACAAATTTTATTACACACAACGGCAATTTCGGCACAGAGAGATCTGTGGACGTTAGCTAGTTAATGCCTAAAAACTGACGCGCTCACAAGTTGACTGGACCGAGTTAACTGTAGAACGCATGAAAAAGGTTTTAAACTCAGCAAACACTAGATCATACCGTAGAGAGGAGGTGCTATGTGCAGGTACAAATTGAAAATGTACGAAGATAGTAAAAGAAAAAATAACTTTTGAGTCTTGTTGCTCAAACAGTACTCTAATGATCAACAATAACTTAAAATAAAAAAACCATAGAGTAACAATTCTGTTTAAATACGGCTTCATGATATTATAACTCAATGTTTCTTACAATTAGAGATTTCTAGCAATATCCGTTTCATATAACAGTTACTTTAACTATTTTTCGGCAGCAGTTATACAGAATTCTATTAGGTTACACATTTGATCCATTTGACATATGATGAGCATATTATACTTTTTTAATGTTTCTCAAAAGCAATCATCGTTAGTAAAATTTGGTAAAAATTGAAAGACATAATAATAATATGTGGATGTAGTATATACCAGGCTCGTTCCGGAAAGCCACTGGAGCAATAACGCCTTGAAATCTCGTGAAATAGTTTTGAATAACGTACGTACTTTTATTATATTTATAAAAGAAAACACTTTTCGCACGGTGGGTGCGAAGTTTGATTTGTGATATGACCGATACTTAGTTCTTAAACCAAGTTTTTTTCATAACTAAGCACTAAATTAAAATACAAAACTGTCATTTAGTACAGAAGATCACATTAGAAGGGATGGTAGGCAAGAAACGTTTAAACATGGGGGTGGCATATACATATCTTCCAAACTACTGAAGGTAAATCAACCAAAGAACGCTCTTTAGCAATTCTTCATACACGTGAAAATCTGTAAAATCCAAAAATAACTACTAAACGTGACACAAAATATGTGGACCCCAATGGATAAAGCAAATTGTCTACCGAATATATCGGTCCATCTGTGTGGTTTAGTATTCAAAGTCAGGAAGATTATTAAAATCAGGTCAATACATTATATAATATTAGTCCCCATATCCCTAATATAAATATTTGCGAACTTCCGGATGAGCTTATACCGCATATAGCGGTTAATATGTAAGAAATCTTAACAAAATACAGAAATATTTGCTTTTTACTAAGCTAACATTAAAGAAATAAGGAAAATATTTTACGTAGTATAATAAAAAGTTTTGCTAACTTCGATCCCTGCAAGCTGCAAGAGCATGAAATGTTCAGTTGCATCCGAAATTAGGTTTTTTCGTCTGTAACAACTTCTTTGGAGGTCCAATGCTCTCGTCGTCTTCAATACCGATCTAGTCCGTACGGAATTAAACAACGTACTTTCACAGGAATAAATAATTTCATCGATACCAAAAACCGTTTTTGTTTTATTACAAAAAAAAATTTTGTAGCGCTCTTATTGAAAATATGGCGTCGTTTGCTGTCCCTATCGGTCTACTTTTTTAGTACCCTACTGAAAAATATATCCAACATTATTTTTAGTTCTTTAATACCTGAGCTAAATGTACCTGAGCACGGTGAGCACGTTGGTTCTAAATTAACACAAACTAATTTGATATAACAATAGAAGCTATTCTGTGTATGAGTTTTCCTATTTTTTGAAAATATTTCTACATGTTTTTCATTCATTTAATTTTTTCACAGTAAGAAAAAGTACCGAACTTCATACCAAAACTCTGAATTAGATCGAGTCTAGTGCATGTTAGGTCCTGTACTAACTTAAAGCTTTATTTAATATTTTGTTAGTTTTACATCATCACATATTTATATCCTATATTCCATATTGCAGTTATATAATTTTAATTTTCCGAGTACTATATATTTAAACGAGTTAATATTAATTAGCATAATTACTAATAGGAGTATTAAATTGCTTCATTTAGTTTATTAACGGACTCATATTTGTAACCAGAATTTTCGGATCTTATTAGCATTAATCTTTATTTTCTTTGTTAAACAAACATTTTATTTTGTAATTAGTTTAATTAGCGACATTAATATGACTTAATTTCATCACCGGCATGGTGAAATTAAATTGCATCATTTCACTTCCGTCAACTTTTAATATTAGAAATTTAATATTTAAGTAATTCATTTTGCAAATATTAAGTAGCATGTTCAAATAGATCACCTTCGAGTCCACCAACTCCCACTTCGAGTCTACCACTTCTATAGTAATAGCACAAACTTTGCTGAGTTAATAGACGAAGGAGGTGCGGTATAGCGTCAGGAATAAGTTCTGATTGATCTTATATAATATTAACTAGAAACAATGCAAAAAGCGGAGAAGTGAGTGAATTCAAAGCGATAAATACATATCCGAGATGTTTTAAGATTTCGCAAACATCAAGTGTAGGGAGATTTCCTATTATACAGGATAGAAATAGCAAAAAGGTCTACGACTAGTGCACCAAAATGGTACAGCTAGTGCTAATTGAGCCCGAAATACAACAGGACTGCACTCTTACCTACCGATGTACATATATCTGCCGTGAATTGGATAGTGCTTCGGCGAGGTATTTTGGAATATCTTGAGTTGATTGACCTTCACTCCGTTGGAAGGACCAAGTGGAGAAGGACCTGGCTTCGCTTGGAATATCCAATTGGCGCCAAGTAGCGAAAAGAAGAAACGACTGGCGCGTGTCTACGCCAGTAAAGAAGAAGAACACCTAGTCCATTGTTGTTAGCCCATAAGCGTAACTTGCGTAGTGCTCTTTCCATAATTTCACTGACTGTTGAAGGAAACATAGGTGATACCAACAACACTATATCATCTGCATATGATACTGCTTTCACCCCTCCACTGTTTAGCTGGAGTAATATTTCATTCACTTACCACATCGTGAATCGCCGTTGATCGGCCCCTTATGTACGCATGATGGGACTTCGATAACGTCTCCGCCATGGTTGTTCTTATATGTAAGTCCATTCGCCTTTGCAGTACCTTCAACATGAAAGATATGAGGCTTATAGGTCTTAAATCCTTAGCATTATCGTGTTCTTCTGCCTGGTTTTGGTAGGAACACCACTTTAGTTCTTTTCTAACTTCTTGGGATGTAAGATACTTGCAAATTCACCGTCGAACTGTCATCGTAACCGGTTGCTTTTCGCTCTTTGCTTATTGAGT